ATTACGGCAATGAATACAATCCACAGTCCCATGAACCACAAAGCGTTCCGCCAACCCGACACCCGCAACCGCTAGTGCGGAAAGCGCGTGTCCCGTAAGAGGACTAATCTCATTGTACTCACAGTATTTATGGGAGTAATCCGGTATGTAGACTGCGGTGGACCATGCTTCAAGCAGACCGCACCAATCGAAAAATCAACACCACTGAGAAGATCAGGGTGGGGAAAAAAAAGCGTGTGCTGTAGCCAGCTTCGCTATGCTGCTCCAGGGTTCGGTTCGGTCTTCCTTTCGAATATTTTTAAACGTGGCCACAGTGTGGCCGTGAGACGTTCAGATCAGATGACAATCCGTCGTCTGCACTCGAAACCACGTCTTGGGACTTAGCTCCAAGTGTAAACTCCCCCCGCTACTGGGACCAAGCACCCCGGATCGGTCCCCCGGGACTGCGGTTGAGCCCTGGATCTTCCACTTACCCGGCTTCTCTCTTTTCTTTTCCCTCTCCTATTTATTTCTTTTCCTTGAATGCATCCGACTTCTTAATTTAGGCAGAAAAGATCAACAGCTCGAGACGGAGTGCTCAGTTTAGAAATCCAAAAAAGGTCTCAGATACATATAGGGCGCTCGGTGCTGTCTCTGCGGGCGGAGGGCAGCAGATGGTGGATGTGGGGTCTGAAGGTGGTGCCGTCGTTGTACTAGGAACTCAGATTCCACTGCCCTGTGTTAGTGTTAGGGGCAGATTTGAACATTGAGGTATGCTCAGAGCAGGGTTTTGAGCCAGAGGCTACCGGTGTTCTGCCTTTTTCTTTTTTCTTTTTTTTTGTGTGTGTGTGTGTGTTTTGTTCTCCTGCTTTTTTTTTTTTTCCCCCAGCACTTTTCTTCCAGGTAGGCTGTTAGGACCCCAGCCTCAAATTGCAATTGGAAATAGGAAGTTTTTGCTTCGAGGAAGAGGGAGGGGGGGGGGGGGGGGGGGGGGGAAGTATGCATTACGTACCATACCAGAATTAGTTATTTGTCGTTCGGGACATCCGTTAAAATTGGAACGATACACAGAGACAGAGAAGATTAGCATGGCCCCTGGGGCCGGGACCCACTAGCAGCGTTGTGTGTATAACGTGTGTGACTCTGTTGTCCCATTTAAGAGATGGTTTTCCCTTTTTTTTTTTTCAGATTAAAAAAAAAAACTCGTTTTCTATTCATAAAGAAAGCAAAATCCTTCTCTGGGTTCTCCTTTCAGTCAATGGGCTGGGAGCCACAGAGATCATCGCCTGTTTTTCAGGCTGGGTTCTTCATCAGCCAATGGGCTGTGTCCCCCTCTGAAGGAGGTCTGCACACTTGCAGTACGCACAACTTTGTTTCCTTTGCGTCGGTCTTTGGAGGCCCAGAAGCACTGTATCACGTTTGAAAATGCCAATAAGATCGGAGTTCTGTTTAAACCAAAACAAAACAAAAACAAAAAAAAAAACATTCTGAGGCCCGTCGATATTCTGCCTCGAAGCTCGTCACACCGTTGACTGAAAGGGACCCACTAGCCACCGAGATCGTCAGCCAATGGGCTGTGTCCCCCTCTTTTTTTTTTTTAAGGCCCTTGTGCAAAAGGCCTCTATCCCAGTGGTGGTGGTACGAGAACCACCGGGATTGAGGCTTTGCCTAGTAAGCCGCTCCATCTATTGATGGGGAGCATCACCTGCTGGAAACCTCTGAAGGAGGTCTGCACTTGGCAGTACGCAAAACTTTGTTTCCTTTGCGTCGATCTTTGGAGGCCGAGAAGCACTGTAGCGGTGACGTTTGAAAATGCTAATAAGAAAAACGGACTGTAGCACGTTTGAAAATACCAATAACCCCGGCCTCGTTTTCAGCTATGTAATGAATTTAATGTGGGTAAAAAAAAAAAAAAAAAAAAAAAAAAAAAGGAAAACGAAAAACCACTCGTATTCTGAGGCGCTGCTTGGAGGAAACCTGCACCACATAAGCCTCTACTTTCAGGAACACTACCAGGCCCGTCGATATTCTGCCTCGAAGCTCGTCACCCCTTGCCCTACTCGTGATCGAAATCACGAGGCCCCCGTTGTAAAACGGCGCTAGTGGGGCCCTGGCCCCACTTAAGGAGATGACACGCATAAAGCGTAAGGGAAAAAGAAAGAGGGGGGGGGCGGAAAAAACCAAAAAAAACTAGCTATTTATCTGATCCACTCCGAGATATACATCTCTGTATTTCCGGGGGCGTGGTCCCACTAGCAAAGAGGATCGGATCGAATGTCTGCATCTGGTCGAGGTTATGGAGATGTGCAGGAAATCGAGATTGAACTGCTCTTCTGCATCTCTGCATAAAACACGTCCAGACTCAGGAGCTCGATCCTATCTTTATTGCTAGTGGGACCTCGGCCCGGGGCGGACTATAACACACGGCACAACCGACGGCCCTATAGCTCAGCTGGCAGACACATGAACTGCTGAAATACAGACCTCATCAAAAAAAAAAACAAAAAGAAGAAAAAAGAAAAAAAGAAATACAGACCTCAGTTCCAATCCCGACGGAGTGGTGTAGCAATGCCCTTATCCGAATTAGGGTGCATCTGGAGGGACGAAATGAAACACTTCCTGAATTAGGGCATCGCCACACCACTCTCGAATTGTGAAAAAGACAAAAATGTGGAGGGTGCATCTGGCCATGTTCTAGCGGAAAGTCCATTCTCATTTTTCACATTTAGGGAGTGGTGTGGCGATGCCCTTATCCGGGGGCACGGTGCCATTAGCCAAGGGGTAGTAAGACGACATTCTAGACCTGAGACGGGGGGAAATGGGAATTAAAAAAAAAAAAAAGTTTTAAACATCAGAAGAAGAGAGAAAAGAAAAGGCGAAAAAAAAAAAAAAAAAAAAAGGGCAAAGGACACGAAACAGGGGGATCGATCTGGAAAAAGGGGGATCACAACTTTCTGCATACTCAACACTAGCACTTTCTTAAATGTATCTGACCACGATTTCGGCTGTGTGCGGATGCATGTGTCTGGGTGGGGAATCCAAGAAGTCGCATTGCTGAATCCGAGCAATGGATTTCAGTCCCCTTGGGCAAGGAAGAGTCGGACCAACAGCCATGGTGACTGAATTTCGTCCATTACTGAGGTCAAATACATCCGAATAACCAAGGGGCCTACCCCAGTTGGTACACCCATGATCTGTTGAAGTACACACCCAAGTTCGAATCAAGATGCAATCAGATGAACAGAGAATGAAATATAATTCTGTTACTCCTTTTCTTTAGGGACGGGCCATGCTAATCTTCTCTGAAAACTGTAAAAAATTATTTAAAATATATATATTGTCACACTGTGAATCGGATCGCAAAGGCGGAAAAAAGCAAAACAAGGAAGGGAAAGAAAAAAAGTCAGGAAGGAAAGCCCCACCTGTTCATCACCTCCTACGTACGAGGCCAGCCACGTGGATGACAGG